TGTTTCCCTAGTTAAAATAGTAATTATGTTTCAAGTATACTTAACTGAATTGCTTTGGATTAGCTTGAGATCATGAAGGATGTTGTATTAACAAATATACCATCCTCTTGACTGACCTTCCACAAAGCCATGGTTTTGATCCCAGGTCTGAATAACAGATAACCTTTGAATGAACCCATTCAGTGTTTGCTTATTTATTAATCTTTGTAGCCTTACAGGGACATACTTTAGCAGAAGAGTGATATATTGTATTTTATATGGTACAATATTTCTACCTTTGTGAGTAGCCCCCAATATCTCAAGACTTGCTGAGTACTTTTTATCATGCTTGTGTTTATGTCTGTCATGTATAGAGACTTATCTGACCAAAGTTTGATCCTAACTGCTTCAGATCCCAAAGCCTCTCCATTACCATAGTTGTCAACTTTCATTTCTAGATTATTGCCCATCTCTGTTCCAGCTTTAACTCACCTGCCGATACACTTGTCCACCTTTGTTACATTTAGGCTTGTCTGTTCCAGTGCTTGAGTACAGCTGTACATGTACAGTGGCTAATTATGTGAGACACTAAAGCTGATAACACGTACAGAATTTTGGAGATTGAAAAATGTTTGTGGTGTGTTTTTGATTTTGAAATATGTAAGATAGAAGACTTGCTGGGCCAACATTTCTCCTACTTTGCCCAGCTTTGTAGAATGTCAGTTGACTGGTTAGAGTTGTAACATCATAGCCAGAGCCTTTCCTATGATGGTTTATCTTCCTGTCTTACTCTGTCAACTCTTGAATCTACCCAGAATTATCCTTGGCGCTCCTCTGTCCTTATTTGTATGCCATTTGATGACATCGTCCAAAGCTTCGAAGGTCAGCATGTGCATAAAACTTGATTATGCCCAACTCTACACTTCAACCAACTTTATCTACCCTTCCACTACTACTGCTGTTATCAAACAGTCATTCATCCTGTCTTAGATGAGCCTTAACATCCTTGAAATTAAACACTGGGAAAACTCTGTAGTCATGCTACCAATGTCACTTTCTCCTCACCATTGTTTCATGATGATCTATGACTGCTTACAACATTTTGCTCTTGAGCTGAACTTTTGATGTTACCATCTTTGCCAGAAAGAAGTGCATCAACCCACTTTTCTATAATGCTGCTGAACCATTATTCCAATTACCTGTCAATTCTTGACTCCCAAACCCCAAAATTTCTCTTCTCCCCTCCACTCACAGACACTAAAAGAACTCTGCTCCTGAAAACAGCCATATCTCATCAGTTGCTTCCTTCTCCAGCACTGTAACTACTTTTTAAATCCTGTCACACCACATACCTTTACACTTCCCCTTCCTACTACCATTTTAACACATTTTGAGCTGCTATTTTTAATGGATGCTGAAAATGCAAAAGGAAAAACCTTCAACTAGTATTTGCAATTTTCGCTAAAATGTGGATGTAAAGTGCAATATGAATCTGATGTTAGCAGAAACACTTCTTGAAACATTCGGTTTCCTGGGTGGTTGATTCGGATCAGAGACTTGAAATATGGAAATCAAATCTTGTCTCTGAATCTTATTTAGCTAATTACATGATTCACTGCAGTATTTCAAATTGGGAGTAGACTAGGTACTAATGGAATATTAAGAAAATTTATTTAAAACCTATTAAGAACGTTAATTCATTTCCCATTCTAAAGAACACACCATTTTGTTGCTTGTTTCAGTAATTGACCAGATTTGTAGCTTGACTCTGAATAAATATTGCAGTATTTTTTCTTCACAGTATTTATATGGAGACTGAAATCCCTGCTCTGCCTGAACAGTAATAACACATCAAAAAACTTCTTCAGGACTACAACTTAATGTCAGACAAACAGTTGTAAATTTTAGTAGCAGCCGTAAAAATCACCTGGAGACAGGTAAAATGGATGTCATCAGCATACAACTGGAACCCAATTCCATAATTTTGGATGATGTCTCCAAAGCAGTCTTATAGGCAATGGACGGGAGGTCTTGTTATATGGTGGTGGTATTCCAACCTCTGGGCCAGAAGACACGGGTTTGAGTTGTAGCTGTTCCAGAGCTGTATCAAAATATCCTTGTACAGGTTAATTTAAAAATACCTGTAGATGAAGGAGGGACAAGGAGTGCAGCCTGGTTTACATTAGCAGAGATCATGCATAGGTGAGAGAAACTAATGAATAACGTGGTGTGCTATCAATAGTCTGAATGATACCAGTGGAAAACTGTGCCAGTAAGGTGACTGCTGAAGAGAGAGGTTAGAGGAAGACAGTAATAAATAGTGTCAAATATAAGAAGTCAAATACCATCTCTCGGGGTAGGAATTTTAGTCACCTATGAAGTAAAGAGATTCTGCAACAGAGATGTTTTGCATGCACTAGTCTGTAACAGTCTTTGCATTTAGAATATAAAGAAAAAGAGGAACTAAGAGGAGTGGGAAGGCATTTAGGAGTTCAGAAGTTATTTTTATTGTAATAATCTCGAATGTTGTGAATAGAAGGATATTTCTGCAAATTTACTGTTTGCTCTGGTTTGTTTTGTCGTTTGCTGCTTAAATTTTGGTGCTACTTAGTTTTCACTACAGAAGCTAATGTCTGTGAGAGAAAAACATAATCAGTTGTCTGGGTATCTCAGGATTAGTATTTTCTTGCTTATCTGTAGAGTGTATGGCAGTATTGGGAATACCAAGCTTTTGGTTGTTTATCCTACTACCACAGAGTCATACAACATAGTCCACGCCGATCATGTTCCCAAACTAACCTAATCCCGCTCACCTGCGTTTGGCCCCCTTCCCTCCAACCTTTCCTATGCATGGATTTATCCAAATGTCTTCTAAATGTCGTAACTAAACCTGCTTCTAGCACTTCATCTGGCAGTACATTTCACACACGTACCAGTCTGTGTTTTAAAAAAAAATGTTGCCCTTCATATCCTTTTTAAAACTTCCTTCTCTCACCTTAAAAATGTGCCCCCTAGTTTTGAACTCCCCCACCCTAGGAAAAAGACCCTTGCTATGCATCTTATCAACGCCCCTCATAATTTTATAAACCTCTGTTGTCACCCCTCAACTTCTACGCTCCAGTGAAGAAAGTCCTGACTTTCCAGCCTACTTTTATAACTAAAACTGTCCATTCTCAGCAACATCCCAGTAAATCTTTTCTGAACCTGCTCCAGTTTAATATCTTTCCTATGACAGGGCAACCAGTACTGCACGCAGTACTCTAGAAGAGGCCTGATCAATGTTCTGCACAACCTCAACATGATGTCTCAACTCCTATACTCAAAGGTCTGAGCAATGAAGGCAAGCATGTTAAACATCTTTTTAACTACCCTATCTACCTGTGGTGCAAATTTCAAAGAATTATGTACCTGGACCCCATCATAATCTGTGGTTTAATGTCAAATTATTAATTAACATTCTTGCGGAAATGCCTTTGTACATTTTGCTTTGTTAAAGGTGCTATATAAATGCACCACTTTGTTGTAAAATTGGTATTTCCAATGTACCTTGAACAGATTGGGTCACATTCACTTTCCTAGTAAAACGAATTGCACTGTTTTCTTATCTAGGTGTGCCATCTATCTCTGAAATCTGCATTTGGCTGGGTAGTAATTTCAGACCTTTCTTTAGGGACTCCTACAGTTACATGCGTTGGTGTAGTAAATCTGTTCTTAACATAGTTGAGGAATATTTATTTTGTTTGTAATGAGTCAGTGTTTTTATTCAAAAGTAGATATAATGACTGCCAAGAATTTTTTCAAATGAGCATAGTGTCAGAAATAATTTCAGACAATACCATCCTATTATTTCGCATATACATACAAAAGCAGCCAGTCAACCCAGTTGGCCTTCTGTTCCTTTCTCCCTCATGTTAACTGAGCATCCCCTTATGCGCACCTGTTCATAGTTTTCCACTGTGCTCAGGGTTGGTTATTTTTGGATATGTACTTGCTGTTGTTTGTGGGTGGATTCAATCACTGTATTGGTGGATGACTTATTCCATAATACAATTTGTGCTGAAGTATAAGGACGTAAAGACCTCTACCAGTTTCAACAATTTAAGAAAATCTTGTTTATCAACTTGATAATTTGCAATCAATTTCTAGGCTCTTATCATTCAGGTAAAATGTGTTCTCTAGGAGATCATAGATTGAAGTTTAAATGCCAAACTTTGCTGTAACAGCACATCTTGTGGCATGCACTAGTATTTCAGCTTCTTGCTGCATCATTCAAATTAATTGTAATTTGGAACTTCACTTACTTGAAGCGCAAGTATATAACAGTGCGGCAAGGGCAATGGGTGTCAGGGATGTTAACCAATAATGATGCCAAAATAACTAGTTAAGATTTAGGAATTGCAAGACAGTTGGAGAAACATCAGATGAAAACGGTAAATTAGTTTGGGTAATATAGCGTTAAACTGAGTGAAGAAAGATTGAATTACAAGAGGGACGAATGGAAAGGTTATATTTGAAAAAAAAACACGATTTTTACCTTATTTTGTCAAAGAATAAAAAGATACTTCTGCTATTAAATACATGCCCTAACTTTTTCATAGATTCCCTACAGTGTAGAAACAGGCCATTCGGCCCAACAAATCCGCAGAGCCCCTCCGAAGAGCGTCCCACCCAGACCCATTCCCCTACCCCGTGTTTAACCCACCTAACCTAAACATTCCTGGACACTATGGGTAATTTAGCATGGCCAATCTACCTACACTGCACATCCTTGGACTGTGGGAGGAAACTGGAGCACCCGGAGGAAACCTACGCAGACATGAGGAAAATGTGCAAACTCCGCACAGACAGTTGCCCGAGGGTGGAATTGAACCCGGGTCCCTGGCGCTGTGAGGCAGCAGTGCTAACCACTGAGCCACCATGCCTTTCTGCGACAGGTTTAATGGCCTACTAATGGACAAATCCAGCAAGTTCTTAAAAATTATAGGTAACTTGAGGAAACTTATACAGTTAATGATAGAACCATGGAGCGTGTTGCAGAGCAAAGAGACCTCGGAGTGTTGGTACGTAGTTCCTTGACAGTGGAGTCACAAGTAGATGGGGTGGTGAGGAAGGCATTTGGCAGTCTTGCCTTCATTGGTCAGATTGAGTGTAGGAATTGGGAGGTCATGGTGCGGCTGTATAAGATATTCGTGAGGCTACTTTTAGAATACGGTGTACAATTCTGGTCACCCTTCTGTAGGAAGGATGTTAAACTTGAGAGGGGGCAGAAAACATTTACAAGGATGTTGCCGGGACTAGAGGGTTTCAGTTATAGGAAGAGTCTGATAGGCTTGTGCTTTATTCCCTGGAGCATTGGAGTTTGAGGGGTGATCTTGTAGGGGTTTGTAAAATCATGAGGGGCATGGATGTTTGAATAGCCAAATAGTATGGAGGAGTCCAAAACTAGAGGGCATAGGTTTAAGATGAGGGGAAAAGATTTTAAAAAGGACCCGAGGTCACTTTCTCATGGAGACGGTAGTGCGTGTTTGGAACAAGCTGCCAGAGGAAGTAGTAGAGGCGGGTACAATTACAACATTTAAAGGCATCTGGATAGGTCTATGAATAGGAAGGGTTTAGAGGGTTATGGCCCAAATGCTGGAGTCCGTCTAGTATAGTGGACTGTTGCTTAATGAAACTATTCTGCAGGAACAGTCTATAAAAGACCTAAATCTGATTGA